CTTTTACTGCCTAATTTCTCAGGACATCACAGCCCCTCTGTTATGTTATTTATACTTTCTTGGTCTCTTTTCTATAGTGATGTCATAACCATATTTCATTGCACTACCATTGGTTCTCCTCTTACATTAGTCTTTGATTTTTCTATATGTGAGATGAATACCATTTCCCAGGAAAGCAGAAATGAAATCTAGGACGGTGTATTCAAAATACCATCGTGAAACTAACATACACAGTAGGAATCTGTATGCCTACTTGAACCTTCAGGTTAGTTCATGAATTGTTGAAACCTCTGATTCTTTTCTTGGCCATCTTCTTGACACTCCTGAAAAATTTCTGGATTGCAACTTGCAGGACTTGTCTCTTCTTTTAACTTTTATATCATGCAGATTATTAACTCCACAATTCAATCCTCCCCTCTATTCATTCCATTGGAAGGTCCCTGTGTGTGGTAGGTTCTGGGTCTTCTCGATTACTGAAATCATTTCCTTGACTTTTGGGAATTTTGAAGTCTCATGAAAGGGAATAATATGAAAACAAACAAATGTAATAATTTAGTGTTACACTTAATTTTAAAAGAAAATATGTAGCATGCCCAGAGGACTCAAAAGACTGATACTTATCTCTGCAAGGCAGTAGAAAAAGTCAGAAGAAACTTTATGATAAAGAAGTGATAATTAATCTAAGCTATGCATATACATTATTGTGAGACTGTATTAGATAAGAATTGAGGAGGAAAGGCATGCTGGATACAGTGAAGATCCACACAAACAGACTCAGTTTCCATTGTTGGTCTTTCACCTTCCTTTGTGAAGAGTCAAAAAAGAAGCTATATTTTCCTCAGTTATTATGTTCTCCCATATTTTCTGTCTGCCCTCTTCAATTCTCCATGTGCCAACCTCTTTGATAACAATGAGTAGAATAACATGCAGCTAGCAGAGCATCTAGCACACTTACTAGGCCCTTAAAAATAAGTTGAATGCATGAATGATAAATCCATAGATCATTATCCAGTTTAAGAGCAGTTTTTTACTCTGGAAACTAGTGCTGAGTATCCTTGGTATAATGACACCAGCCACTGTGTCTGGGCTTCCAGCTTTTTTAAAAAAAAATTCTTATGTTAAAACCCTAGGGAGAAAGGCCAGGTTTGACTGAAACTTTCACTGGAAACAACAAAAGAGATGTACATATTCTTAAGAGGTAAATTGTGAACTAAAATTTGGCCTATAATTTTATTGTGTTTAATTTTCATTTTATTTAATTGATTTTATTTTTTAAAATACATGACAGTGGAATGCATTACAATTCTTATTATACATATAGAGCACAATGTTTAATATCTTTGTATATAAAGTATGTTCCCACCAATTCATGTCTTTATATATGTACTTTTTTTGTATTATATAAAGTAGGTTGATACCCAATTTGTGTTTTTCATACATGAACTTTGGATAATGATGTCCATCATATTGTGCTTAATTTCAAAAAAATTAGATTCTTTGATCTATATCATTCATAAGTAGGTGAACATAGAATAGTTCAAGTTTCCACATTACCTCGACAATCTTTCTGTTTAAAAAAAATAGAGGATATTACTTACTCCTACTTTAACAAACAGTGAAAAAGTACCAGATTTGGTCCTTCATTTCCTCTCAACTCTCAACTTCTATTTAATGAGTTAGAATCTTCCAATCATTCTGTGATGTGCCTTCCCCTGGTTTATCCCTTTAATAGTATTCTGTGCCATTTTCTAGGCTTGGCGGAAGAGGTGGGTGAGAGACCAGAAATTCTGCAGCTCCGTTCCCGGCTCCCACCCTCTGCTTTACTCTGCCTGGTCCATTTGGTCTCCAATAGTGTACCACACAAAGGTTTACAAGTGATTATTCCCTAGGTCAAAACTCAAATCACCTTTGCTTTAAACCCTCCACCAGGAATGTCCCTAGCAGGCACAGCCTTAGTGCCTACCAGGAGAGGACCTTTTGGGAAAGCTCTTCCTGTCTTCATGGGATCCACTACTTCTCACTGACCACCTGCTCCTGATCCAACATATTTAGCCCAGTGTTGTTCCCTAATGCCCAACTCTCAACTGCAGGTCTCCTGGGACACACAACGGCTGTCCTCCCAGGGACCAAAAGCTAATTATCAGAAATATTACAGACTGACACCTTAAGGAGGAAGGAGTTAATTTTCTAACTACCACATAATTTGCAAGGCAAGGCTCTCTCAGGCAGTCTGGGCATCCTATTATTATGATATATATATATATATATATATATATATATATATATTTCTCTTCCTCCCTGCTGTCCCCACCTTTTTTCTCCTCCCCATCCAATTTTAAATTACATTCTCTAAGCATTCTGGGAATCAGAGAGGGGGCTATTGTAGGGGCTTATACTCATCTCTGGCTCTTTAACAATGAGATGCTTTGCTATTGCGGTTCCATTAAGGAATAGATTAACTCCTTATCTAAGAGTCCACTTTACCCTCAATTTCCAACTAGGCAGGAGGGGAGGCAATGGATTAATCTTCCCCTCACATAAGTATAAGTAATTGATGACCTGGGTGCTCAATGGTCAGGTCACATGGTCTGACAAATGATTTATTTTTTTTCTGAGTCATGATTCATTTTCATTAAGTCTTACAAAAGTATGAAAATCAAACTGGATTTAAACATTTTGTGCAGCATTTAACAAATCACCTTTCTTAAAGAAAAGGAAAAAAATTACACAAATTCTATCTAGGAAATTCAGCCAGCACGGTCATCGTAGCTTTCTGATCTATACTTGAGTTAATTATGAAAAATGTTCAAGTACTTAAAGAAATCTTAAAAAGAAAAATCTTGAACATCTCAGCCATGTATCCTGGTGAGGCTAAAATTGGGCAAAGGCAGAGCTGAATGCCAAATGATAATTTCTGCTCAATAATTCAGGCCATGTGAACTCTGGTATTTTACTTACTTTAATGAGTATAATGGGTGCAATTAGAGACTGCTTTTCCTCATGGTGCCAGACACAATGTGCTTTTGCCTAATTGTGGGCTCCATCCCCTGCCCTGTTTTTCCAGGTAACTCACACCTGCAAAGTTTTCCTGTAATTCCAGCATCTGGCTTTAGTACTCCCAAAATAAATGTATTTTGAAATCATAAGTTTTAATGATAATTATCATGGAGAACGAAAGAAGCTTCAGACTAAAAAGTAGATTTATTCCATAAGGTAGTCTGTGATCAATCTCATTTGCAGGAAAAAGAGATCGTAGAATGTGGGTTTCTTCTGACATTGTTCTTTTTCTCCTCCCCACACAGGGAAGTGATGCTGATATGGTGGATAAGAATAAATGCTGAACACTGTGTAACATGTCTTTTACCTCAGCAGTGGTGGCTGACTCCCATTATCAAGGCAAAATCCACGCCAAAAGGTTAAAACTGTTGCTAGGAGAGAAAACACCATTGAAGATTACAGGTATGTGTTTGGATGACCATTCTGGGGAGACACTGCCGACCAAGCACTGCATCGGTGATGTGAATCATGTTCTTTCGTTAGAGGCAGCTGCCACCTTTAGGGTCCTAATGGTAGATGCCATTCAAAACCCCAAATGATAGGTGGATGGCTCCAACAGACCTTGCTGTCCTAAGACCATTTAGGTGCTCATTCTACCAACCTGGTTCCATCAGATTGGTTATTTGGCCACTCACATCTACCAAAAAGCTGCTTATATTCTGCAAGATATACTATATAATATATAAAATTTTGTAGCTATTTTCTTCAGTCTGCAGTCAGCATGGATAATACATGGTGTATAGTGTATAATAAGTAGAACCCCTACCAATATCTGTATGAAGAATATAATGCTGTTTTTACTTTATGGGGAAAGTGGTAGAGAGGAAAACCAGTCTCTTTAAAACTACTTTAGTTTGCAGAGAACTGAATCTTTGTATGGCATTCCAATATCTTGGTAGGGGATCCTGTAACTCAAGCCTATTAGCTTTCCCAAATAAAAGCTTAAATATTGGTAATACATTACTTGATCTCATTGCTTCACTAAAAAAAATTTCTTCACAGGTCTGTCAAATTATGGAACTAAAATATTGTTATAAATTAATAAACTTAGACTCTTTGAACAAGATTTATATTGTGATAAAAATGTTACTAGATTGGGTTATAATCCCAAGAAGTTGGGAGTATTTTTCAGTATTTTTCTACTCTTTTAATGCAATCAAAATTGAGCAGTGCATTTTATCTTGCTGTCTAATGAATCGTGCATAAATCGTGAGTGTAATTATTTTTTAAATGGTATTTTGGAAATAGGAGAGAGTCTAAAACAATGCTGGGCTTTTATCTTTACCAGTGTTTCTCTTAAGAAAATGTCTTCTTTTACCAAGAGAATAGCAAAGGATCCTTTCTCAATATTTTTCTACTTAGTTTAACTAAAGAACATTGTTTTCATGGAGGTGGCTGTGACATTCAGGAATAGGATGGGGTTGTAAAACACATGAAATCTGGAGACACGCTTAGCTTGTTTTGGAATACACTGTGTGGTTTGACATTTGATGAGCAGCTACTCAGTTGAAACTCATGATTCTTGCTCTCTGAAAGGTTGGATATTCACCTTGTAACCTACTCATCATGAAATTTTTTAAAATAGACATCTCAAAGAAACACTAGAAAAATTTTACCTGTTTTCCATGAAAAAGTAACTATCTCATTTGTTCTCTCTGCCTAAGCAGAGTACTGCTGTTAAATTTAATTCTGGAGGTAGCCATGGAAGAAGAGAGGCTGTATCTTTGTTTATCACATTGATTAGCAAAAGGGAGAGTTATTATTTCTGTTAAAAACATCTCAAGCAAAAATAGCTCATTGTGAATTTACATACATCCTCAAGACAACCAAGCACCAGATTGTTTCCCCTGAATTCAAATACCCTTAGAGCTTATACATACAAATCAGGGGTAATTTATTAGTTGCCATAGTGGGTGCCGAAGAAAAAAAAAGGAACATTTCAAGCACAGCCTTAACTTAATGGTTTAGTCCTAGCTGTCCATGGTGCTGACCTAGTCCTCACTGTTGCAAAAATCAGGGTCTGATTAGGCAAGAAGGGAATGGGGCAGGGAGTGGGTATGTAGTATCAACATCTTATAACTTGGGTTGGGGGAAAAAAGACTATTTGTCATGTTCTAGAATCTCTCTTTCTCATCTAGCTCACATCCCCCTTTTTCAGTATGTTCTCTCATTTATTCCCCTCTGAAGCTGCTTTGAGCAGAAAGAATCATGGAAAATAGCAACCTCAGATAGAATTGGAGATCCTTGGAAGCAATACTGATCCCTAGGCTAGGGTTGGTGTCAACCCACCTGCTAATAGGGAGTCAAGAAAGCCATTCATTCTGCTAGAGGGAAGTCAGCCATTAGAAACAAGGGTAAACAGAGGCAGACATTGGGAGGCATGGCACAGGTTAAAGCCATGAGGACTAATAGGAGTGTAAAACCTAAGAACGGAGTGTATGAGTACAGAGAACATGCTTACTGGCATGAAGGAAGTCTGGGGGGTGGTAGCAGGAACTTGGATGCTGTCCTAGGGTCCTGAGAAAAGGAAAAAGTGAAGGCTATAAAGAATATAGCAGAATATCATCACTTAAGAGAAAGGCATTGTGCTGAAAACCAGGTATAGGGAACAAATCAGAAACCTGGGTCCCAGATGTGACAAGATTGAAATGTGATATCAAGCATAAATTCAGTTATTACAAGTATAGAGCAAGGACTAAGAGGCACCAGAAAAGAATACCCAAGCTATGGGCTCCTTGAACTTCCAAGTGTAGCTCATGTAACTCCTTGGATGGAGTAAATATTGCCTTATTTCCTTTTTTGGTGCAGTCAAACCCAGCAACAGCCACTGAAGGATGTCATACTTCAGTCTTTGGCTGCCCTGTGCACGTCTAGGAAATGCTCTGCCTAATCAAGTAGGTTGGTTTGAAATTGCCTCTGTAATAGAGACATAGGGTGAAAAATAACATAAAACCCAGCTCAATCAAGATTCCAGTAAGAAGTCAGTCCTTTGCTCAGGATGATGCTTAAGCTGCTTTTCCATGGATGGCAGGCTCTTGAACTATGGTGATTTCTGGATAGGAATCATTGAAGCACAACTCAGTGTTTCTTCTAACTATTCCATCTGATGAAGTGAGCCACTGGGACCTGTGAATCACTACCTTTACTCCACCTCAAGCTGGTCTAGCACATTGACCACGTGTCAACTGAATGTCCTGCAGGATCAATTGGAATTTGAGTTGCCTCTCTAGATGGTTGCATATTTACTAATATTTCTGAAATGTTTGGCAGGGCCACTGATACACAAATCTGTTTCAGTTCTTCTTGGCTAGTGTTTCAGAATCTCCAACCTATTTCATGTTTTCCTGGATCCTGTAGTGAAGATGAAAGCACTAGACCTAACATGAGCTCCCAGGGGCAACTGACCTCATGGTGAAGATCCTGCCCCAGACAAGCAGTGAGACTGAGGATGCTGTAGTCTTATTATGTGCAGTAGAAATTAGGGAAGCCACTCTGTGAGAAGGATCTAGGGGAGACTCAGAGGATAGAGGTCAAAACAAGTATGTATTAGTTTTTTGACACTATAACAAATAAGTAAGATAATCATCCTGTAAAGAGAACAGGTTTATTTTGGCTCACAGTTTTGGAAATTCCAGTCTGTGACCAGACAGACACAGTGTATTTAGCCCTTTAATGGTGGGAGGTGGGGAACAGAACATCATGGCAGCAATAGAGTAGAACTACTCTTCTCATCCTTGGGAAGCAAAAGAGAGGAAGAGAAAGGAACTGGAGTCCCACTCTG